TCCCTTAATGCTAGCTATTTCCTGAAATAAAGTATTACATCTTTAACTTGTAACCCTAAGGCTGTCCTAATCAGAGTTAACCGATGCAGAGCTGAGGAGGTGGCTCTGTTGGTTAGAGCAGTTGCTAGGCAGGCATGAGTACAGAAGTTTGGATCTTGGGTACCCATGCAAAAGCTGGCATGTCTCGGCACATGCATGCTGAGCCAAAGCTGAGGTTAGAAACAGGAAGGTTGCTGGGGTTGGCCTGGCCATCAGTCTACCTCCAGGGCAGTAAGAAACCTTCTGCCAAATGAATGAAGTGGAAAGTTAAAACAGGACAGCCAACATCCTCCTCTGGCTACTACATACATGAGCAGAGGAGCCGGCATCTACAACCATACATGCGCTTTCAACACACACACAACATGATTCTCTAAACACTAGCTCCTGTCATCTTAGTAAAGTATTGGTATTTCAGGTGTGATAGGAATATAATGCACCAGCAGTTCTAACAAAATTAATGGGAAAAATAAAGTGTAAAATGTTAAGTGTCCATAGGCTTGAAAGAGAAAGTGCATGACAGCCTGAGGTATGCCGTGTTACACAAAGCAGCTGAAAAGAGAGAAAACATATGACACAAGGAAAAAGCTCATGAATTTTGATTTGGCTGACCACTAAATTACATGCTTTCTATTTTATCCTCCTAGTAAGTTATGTGATAAGTTCCTTCTGGCTATTAAAAAGCCACAAGGAAGTAACACACCAAGTGAGTTTAGTGCAAACCTAATATCGACAGCTATTAAAGCCAGGAAGCACTTAATAGTTATTAAAACAAATTTTGATAAGATATTTGTTAGGACCCTGGGGATGAATTGGCTAAACACATTAAAAACAAATATCGTATTTGAGTGATGAGCTTTCATGTAGGCCATCAAAATAAATCATGTCTCTTGGTGACATTGAAGAGCAAGGTGTTTTAGGATTAACCCCTATTTGATTGGCTTCTGGTCATGGGGAACATGACTCCACACGGCCATTACTTTGCTCCTGAATCCTTTCTAACAAAGAAGCTGTTATCATTTTACTCCCAAATTAGATTATAAAGTTAATGAAAGCATGCATATTGATTTCTTCCACCTACTAAATAATATTCAATTTTACTCCAGAGATTCTTAAAGTGAATTACTTAACTAAAATTAAAGTTGTATCTAAAAGTAAGAAATAAATGAGCATGTTGGTACACACCTTTGATCCCAGGACATGGGATGCAGAGACACAGGTGGCTCTATGTGAGTTTAAGAGCAGCATGTAGTACCTATCAGGTTCCATGCTGGTCACAGTTACATAGTGAGACTCTGTTTCAATAAATAAAGGTAATAAATATGATAAAATACTCACGGTTTAGGAAGAATATTTTGGTTGGGGAGTAGAAGCACTGAATAGAGGAGGGATTATGGGTGGATAAATAACACTGCAGACCATTTGTAGAAGTCATGGAGAAACACACTACTGGAGAAGATTTCCATGTAAGTGTGGAACATAGGCACATCTGAATTTATGGTGGTTGTGAGAGTTTGCACAAGGCCTGTGCAAGCTCAAGGCAGATAAAAGGCCAACAGACAGAGGGGAGGTGCACAGGAACGCCCTTGGGGTCCCACCCCTAGAGGAGGAGGTATGCAATTGATTACTTGCCAGTAGACGATATCACATCTAAGATTACATTGGCAGCACAAAATGAACTTGATGGGCATTTTTTTTTAAAAGACACAAATTGGGGAAGAAGTGTGATATGGGAGAAGTTGGTGGAGAGGTGATCAACACACATGGTATGGTACATTAAAAAACATACTTTTCTTTGAATGCCTACAGTCTTGTAAATATTGCTGTCAGTGTGAGTGTTTTCTCATTAAGCTAGTCTTCAAGAGGACAGGCATTATACATCATGTGGCATACAATGAACAAAGACACAAGGAATGGTGATCGAAAGATGGTTGGTCGTCTGTGTGGGAGTCTTGTATTAACCCATCAGAACAGAACGTGTGTGGCTATAAAATATCATATTAATATATTCTTCTCTGTCAGAGTAGACGACACCGAACCTTCCAAATTCCAAGTTAGGTAGCTCCATTTTCCAGCTCACTTTTTTACTGCTTTTTCAACAGAGTGAGTTATTTTTACTTCCTATCTTGTGAAGGGCTGCGGCTCACATAGGTTATCAGGTTTCCAGTCCAGTGGCTACAGCTTTTCCACAGTGAGGAAATGATCTCTGCACAGTACTTTAGGATGAGAGAAAATGGACAAATGTGAAGAATTATGCTTTTATTTCTTCTCTTTGGAGGGATTGTTCTATAACTTGTGTTTAGCTTGGAGAGCTATTTTTTTTAACTTGATTTCTCTTCTGAATAAATAAACCAGCCCCCAGATGGCAAGGACTTCACGTTTCAGCACAGGGTAATTCAATTTAGTAGTTCAATGAAATTCGCTTGGCAGTGTCCCTCTAGTCATACTCCCCTCTTAAATACTTGAGCTCTAAATTTCTGATTCCATGAATAAACAAGCTCCAGAGAGACTGAATCTTGAGTGGCATTGATATCTATGGAAATGACCACATTCACCATTTAAAAAACATGTTTAAATGGTTGGTCTTCTCTTCCAAAAGTTTGAGGATTTCACTGCATAGGAATGCAAAATATATAATATCCAACCTCCAATATCTTTTTAATAAGACAAATACCTCAAATTTTGTTTTTTTGTTTGCCAAGGTTTTTAGTCTGTACTCTATCCAGATATTCACTTTATCAAATGTAAGCATTATAATTCTGACCCTGCCAATTTCTGGGGAATGTCTAGCAATTATGGATAAAGTATGTAGCAAGAACGTCATGCCTAATGTTGTGATTACTACTGTCTAAGCTGTCTTAACAGCTCTGTTTTTATATTTAAGGTCTTTTCATACTCTACATAAATGCACACTCCACACACACACACACACACACACACACACACACACACACACACCACATTTTTATGTGCAAATTTTATAGAGGAACTAAAATATTTTAAGATAGACATTTATTTTAAATTAATCATCTTTAAAATATATATTTAGTCAAGTCTCAACTTATGTGAAGTTTGTATTTTATAACATTTTTAATTATAATGCTGAAGCCAAAGCATCTGATTAATAGAGCTAACATCACATTTTATTTTTCTATAAAATCTTTCTTGTTTGTGTCTGAGAACAATGATCCAGATAGGGAAGTGTAGTAAGCACACTGCAAGGCCCATCAAAATCTGGAAAAGCTCAAAGAAAACATTCTCCAGTGTGCAGTCTGAATCAGTACAGTATATTTTACTTTTACATTTTTCATCTTGTATGGGTGTTTCATCTGCATGCACTTCTCTTACATGTGAGTGCAGTGGCTGTGGCAGCCAGAAGAGGGCACCAGATACCCCAAGAATGACTTGAACCACGGTGTTGTCTCTACAAGAACAACCTGTGCCATTAAACACCCAGCCATCTTCCCAGCCCTTCAGAGTATATTTTTAAACATCAGCAAAGTATTCTAAGCTTCATCCGTTTACTTGGGGTATGAAGTCTCTAGAACTTAGAGTTTCTCATTTTCTTCAAAGAGAAATGTGTGTGGATTTATGACAAATGAGCATCTATATGATCAACTATGTACTCTGACAATATAATAGTAGTGTCTTGTTCATAGGGACCTTCAGAAGCTCTCAGATCCTGAAAATACAGACATTCTTAGTTCACTCGTTAGATACAAAGGATTGCTTCCATTGATTTTATACATAGGGATTCTTTTTAATTGTTTTTATCATTTATTACAATTTATTCAATTTGTTTCTCATCTGTAGGCCCCTCCCTCATCTCCTCCCAACCCTACCCTCACTCCCTCTTCTCCCCCTATGGCCCTCCCCTAGTCTACTGGTAGGGGAGGTCCTCCTCTCCTTCCATCTGACCCTAGCCTATCAGGTCTCATCAGGACTGGCTGCATTGTCCTCCTATGTGGCCTGGCAAGGCTGCACCCCCCACCCAGGGGGAGGTGATCAGAGAGGTTGTCACTGTAGGGATTCTTATACTCATATTTTTGCAGTTCTGAAGTACTTTGGACAAGTGCCTCATTTTCAATTCTATATAATACAGAAAAGCAAGCTTCTTTATTGTGGCAAGGTACGTCTTTGGACAACTCATTTGATTGACCTGGATTAAACTGAAACAACCATCAGACAGCATGATCTCACTGCATTCTTCCAAAACGTATATTTAGTCTAGCTTGAGCTGACCAGTTCTATAGTTTATGTTGTAGCTTAAGAAGAATTTAGATAAGTGGAAACAATGAGATGGCTGAGCAGTTAATGGTGCTTGCCTGCAAACCTGATGATATGAATTAGATCTTAGCTTCCGCATGGTAGAGAAATTTGACACCTGTGTTGTCCTATGACCTCTGCATTCACACACACACACACACACACAGAGAGAGAGAGAGAGAGAGAGAGAGAGAGAACAAATGTAAAATAAGAATTTAGATAAATAATTTTAGAGTTCTCAAACAAGATAAGTTTTTGCTGAACAGTATAGATAAGAAAAAATGTAAACTAAGCTTACAAAAACCACACATCACACTCATGAAATTCTCTAAGTCGCTTCCTATCGTGATATAGAAAATTGACATGTTTTAAAATAGTCGATGTTCTCTGGCTATTATCATGGAGTTACATTTTCTGAATGCTAAATGCCACCTTAACAATCACCCTGTTTCAAGCATTTGTAGCCGTTTGTTTTTCCCTGATGAGACATAAGTACTTCATGGCATCTGTAGCCATTTTAGAGTCATATTACCAAAGATAGCCTGACTTGAAATTCAGCAACATTTCTCCAGATACCAGCTGATAGATTCGGCAAGGCGAAGCGTGTAAAGAAATGCCAAAGGATGTACTGAAGTTGAAAAATACATTTCAAATCACCATGGCTACCCCCTGATGTCTGTGGCAAAGATAATTACCAACTAGAGTGGAGACGAAGGAGGAGCTGGGGTCAAAAGGACATCTGCCCCTTCCTCTCTCAGATCTGTGAGACTCCAGGTGAAACAGGGGCTCCTGGAAAGAAAAGAGAAAGACACTGTGAAGGTGCCAATCGTGATAAGAGGTTAATTGCTCAGGTAAAACATAGCAAAGCTGGGTCACTTACAATTTACATGGTGTCATCAGGAAAATGAGTAGTTACACACTGAGTTTTATAAATAAACACAAAAGCTTGGCAGAGCCCTGTCTAAAGTCACTGCTATCAGAGAATGTAAAGAGATTAGAGAAATTAGCAGCTCATTCAATTAGACAACACAAGATGTTGTCTAATTAAGCTACATCAAGATGTGTCAGTTAAAGAGTCCAAAGACAGAACATAATGAAAAAGGTACTGACAAAGAGATTCAGAGATAAAAGCAGAATTGTGGTTTTATTCCTAATACGGCTTATTAATTTTTAGAATAATTTGGAAAAGAATACTGATAAATTTACAACCAATAGTTTAGAATATTTATTTTAATAATTTTTATCATAGTTTTTTTGTTATTGTTGTTGTTCCTCTTTGTAATCTTGGCTGTCCTGAACTCACTTTGTAGACCAGACTGGCCTTGAACTCACAGCATTCCCCTGACTCTGCCTTCCTCTGAGTGCTGGGATTAAAGGCATGTGCCACCATACCCGGCATCATCACATTATTATTAAATATTAAAAAATGATAATTTAAATGATTAGTTCATAACTACTTCAATGTATATGCATGAGTTAATGTCATATTCTATTTACTGTTTCATTTTTAATTTGTAATACTTGCTTTCACAATAATAAGTCACAAATGAATTCACAGAAATATTTTCTGTTCCTAGATCTCAGAATTCTCATATATATATATGTATATATACATACACACACATACACACAGACAAATCCTCCAGTATGTCTGCCATAGGTGGTGGTTTGGGTACAATTAAGGCATTTGTTGAATAAAAACAACTGTGGAAATTTTTGTAGAAAAAAAATAATTTGCAATGGAACATTGTGGCACTACAGACTGTTCTATTACTGCTCATCTCAACATACCAGTCACCCATTACCTCCTGTGTTGTATTGTATACTTTGCCATTTTTCTCTGTTTCATAGTCTAAAATCACTATCCTGACTTTTGCATTTCAGAACCCTTCCAGTAAATGCTGAGCTCATTTGACCCTGTGACCATGTGGTCTTGTCTTTGATATCAAACGTTGTCTGTAGAACAGCCCAAGGTCTAGTTGCATTACTGGATGCAACAGTAATGTTTTCTTGTTAAGCTGATGTACTCAACTTAGGAGAAAATTGGGAGCTGCTTCTATTAAATTTTCATAGAAAATAATTTTCAGAAGTATGACAGCCTACAGACTGGGAAAAGATCTTCACCAATCCTACATCTGAGAGAGGACTAATATCCAGAATATATAAAGAACTCAAGGTAAACACCAACAAACCAAGTAATCCAATTAAAAAATGGGGTACAGAGCTAAACAGAGAATTCTCGACAGAGAAATATCAAATGTCAGAGAAACACTTAAAGAAATGCTCAGCGTCCTTTGTCATCCAGGAAATGCAAATCAAAATGACCCTGAGATTCCACCTTACACCCATCAGAATGGCTAAGATCAAAAACTCAAGTGACAACACATGCTGGGGAGGTTGAGGAGAAAGGGAAACCCTCCATTGCTGGTAGGAATATAAACTTGTACAGCCACTTTGGAAATCAATCCTGTACTTTCTCAGAAAATTAGGAATAGCGCTACCTCAAGATTCAGCTATACCACTCCTGGGCATATATCCAAAAGATGCTCAACCATACAACAAGAACATTTGCTCAACCATGTTCATAGCAGCTTTAGTCATAATAGCCAGAATCCAGAAATAACCCAGATGTTCCTCAATGGAAGAATGGATACAGAAATCGTGGTACATTTCCACAATGGAATACTACTCAGCAATTAAAAATAAGGAAATCATGAAATTTGCAGGCAAATGGATGGAACTAGAAAAGATCATCCTGAGTGAGGTAACCCAGAAGAAGAAAGACACGCATGGTATATACTAGAGGATAAACATACTAAAATCTATAGTCATAAAGAAGCTAAACAACAAGGAGGACCTTAGGGAGGATGCTTAATTCTCATTCAGAATGGCAAACAGGATAGACACCAGAAGCAGTGGAAGAAAGGAAATGGTACATGAGTCACCACAGATGTCCTCTGAAAGACTTCTGCTTTTCTGTCCCCAACAGGGGACAGAAGTAGATACAGAGACACACAACCAAACTTTGGGAAGAGCACAGGGAGTTTTAGGGAAGAAGGAGAGAGTACAGAAGGACCTGGAGGGGACAGGAGCTCCAGAAGGAGACCAACAAAGCTACCAAATATGGGCCCAGGGGTCCTGCAGAGACTAATGCATCAACCAAGGGCCATGCATGGAGAAGATCTAGACCCCCTGCTCATATGTAGCCCATTGACAACTCAGTCTCCATGTAGGTGCCATAGTAAGGGGAACAGGGGGTATCTCTGACATGATCTCACTTGCCTGCTCTTTGATCACTCCGCCTTGGTGCTAAGACCTTGCCAGAATACAGAGAAAGAGGATCCAGGCAGTCCTGATGAGACTTGATAAGAAAGGGTTAGATGGCAGGGGAGAAGAACTCCCTCTTTCAGTAGACTAGGAAAGGGGGGTAGGAAGGGAAGAAGGGTGGAACCAGAACAAGATGAGAAAGGGGGCTACAATAGGGATATAAAATGAATAAATTATAAAATACATAAATATAAATAAAAAATAAAAAGAAAGTGTAAGAAGAAAAATGCTGATTTATTTGAAGAAGAATCACACAGTGAACGAAAGAAATAGAAAATGCAAAAGAGATAATCAAGAATTTGTGGAACAGGAGTTAGAGGAAAGGAAATAAAGTCAAATTTTCTTTTAAAAAATGAGAATTTTCCCTGGTGGAAATAATCACTTAAGTTCCTGAGGCTAACACTGAATTTTGGATTTCAGCACGTATCTGAGGTATAAATTTCTGATATAGATCCCTCCTTCTGTAAAGATAAATTGGGTCAAAAGAAAACTAATTACATCAAGAAGCCTGTAGCCCTAACAATTTGAAAATAATTTGGTTAATGGGTAATCATGCTGGATGGAATGTTCAGTCCTGTGTGAAGCACATCAGTGCACCATGTACCTATGTCAGAGGCTGTAAAAAGACATAGACTCATTAATTCAAATTCCACACTGCGAACTTAATTTCAAATTCCACACTGCGAACTTAACATAGAATCCTAATATCTTCTTAGACATCAATATCTCATAACAGACAAAACTCAGAGAGTCCGTGACTAAAAACACCTCCCCTTTCTCCTGTAGATTTCACATTTATTTGGTCAGTGGCTAAACGTGGGTCAGCAGAATTCATTTTTAAATAATAAACAAATTCAACCTTTTAATTTGACTTCACCTTCCTAATAAAAGTCTACATTCTTCTTCACCCTCAAAGTTGACATAATCTACATTTCAATGTTAAAAATAAATAGGCTTTTCAGTTCACTAATGAAAGTACCATTGTGGTTTCTAATGGGGGCTTTGTTTGTTTGCTTGTGTGCTTGGTGCTCAGAATGTGGGGAAGTCTTGCAGAATTATAATATGGGTGCTACAGATATTCTTTATGTTAATTAGAGTATGTGTTTAAAAATAATATATCTGCTTTTAACTTTGTCTTGAGCTACTGTATCAGAGGAAGTAACAACAATATGATCACTACATTTCCATGAAAAGGGCTATTACGTTACGTTTTTTAAACACCTAGTAGCAAAAGCAAGTTAAGGACTGGGTTAATTGGAATGACTGAAGTAAGTCTCTGGTCATGGGTAACATTGTTTGAAGTCATTATTTCAGCTTCTGATTGGGTAATAGGAAGAGCAGCTTCATCGCAACCTTTCAGCTGCCTATGATAAATGTGTAAGTGTCTGTCAGACATTTTGCCTAAGCAAGTTATCAGTGATCACAGCCTTTCTGACAGTTGAGAGCAGTTAAAAGTTAAAGCAGGAATAAATCAAATAAAACTGTCACATGCAAAGTTAATGATGCTTTATGACATAAAACAATTTCTGTGTGTGGTAAAGGCCCTAGGAAGAGTTTGCCTCTTTTATGGACACACTGAAAATAATTACACTTTGAAACCATCAGCCTGCTGATAGCAAGTATAAAGTTCCCAACAAATAAACCAGGAGATGGAGAATCTGAGAAGGTGCATCCCTTTGGCTCTACTATTAATAGAAATGCTATAATTTTGTTCCAATTTTATATCTTCTCTCAGACTTTTCATTATGTCATCTGAAGTAACAGAGTTGCAATCAAATTGCAGTATGTGTCTCAAACTCTTTGCTATGACTAAGTTACAGATAATGTAAAAGGCAGAAAAATGGAAACTTGGAATTACTGTCTTAATCCCTAGACAGCAGAGGGCATTTTGAAGGTGCCATCAATTTAAGGATTTTGAGGTGTGTGGACTACCCCAGTGGTCCAGGATGATCTAATAGAATGTAGGCCATGACAAAGAACATTTGACAATGAAAACAGAATTAGCCAATGACATTTATAATAGGGACAGTGGGGGCCACCAGTGCTTGCTTTGAAGATGGAAGGATGGGGTAATAGCAATTCACATGCGATCTCTAGAAGCTGCTAATGACAAGGAAGTCAATTCCCCACTGGGGCAGTCCTGTTGGCATCAACCCTCTCACCCAGGAAGAATCATTTCAGGTTTTTCACTTAGAGAACAATAAACTCGACATGGTGATTTCTGTCAATACACCCATCAATATTTGTAACAGTAGAATAGAAAGAATAATACAGCTCCAGAGAGGACAAGGCACTTGCCTGTCTTTTTATCACCCTATACTCACACAGAGCACATCTAAGAATTACTCTACACCATGTACATTGCAAACCAGAACAAAACTCATTCTTATCAAGATCCATGTCACCATCTGTTCAATCCTTCAAACATCTTTGATTTAGTCAGACAATGACATTTTGTATTT